GAGTCCCAAAGAAGTTGGATCCAAGGAGAAACACACCAAGGCACATAATGATTACATTAGCCAAGGTAAAAATGAAGGAGAGAATCCTAGAAGCAGCAAGAGATAAGGAGACAGTAACCTACAAAGGAGTTCCCATCAGACTGTCAGCTGATTTCTCAAAAGAGACCCTGCAGGCAAGAAGGGGCTGGCGAGAAGTATTCCAAGTCATGAAAGGCAAGGACCTACATCCCAGATTGCTCTATCCAGCAAAGCTTTCATTTAGAATGGAAGGGCAGATAAAGTGCTTCTCAGATAAGGTCAGGTTAAAGGAATTCATCATCACCAAGCCCTTATTTTATGAAATGTTAAAGGGACTTATCTAAGAAAAAGAAGATAAAAAACATGTATAATAAAATGACAGCAAACTCACAATCATTAACAACCACACCTAAAACAAAAACAAAAACAAAAACAAACTAAGCAAAAAACTAGGACAGGAAGAGAACCACAGAAATGGAGATCACATGGAGGGTTAGCAACAGAGGAGTGGGAGGAGGAAAGAGGGGGAAAGGTAGAAAATAGACAGGGGGAGGGCAAGAATAGTATGGGAAATGTAGAAGTTAAAGAATTTATGACACATGGACATGAATTAAAGTAGGGGAATGTGGATGGGAGAGGGTGTGCAGGGTGGAGGGGAATGAAGGGGGGTAATGGGACACTTGTAATAGCACAATCAATAAAATATATAGATTAAAAAAGTGATTACGTAAAATCAAAAAGAAAAAAAAAAGAACACAGAACATGACAACAGATTTTTTTTCATCAAGAACCCCTCCTGATTGCTGTAATCTATTGAAGTCCCTTAGGATGCCTTCCTCTTCCCCTCCATCTTTCTTAAGAATTCCTATCCACTGACCCTCCTATGACATTTTCACCATCCGTCATTCCCCATTCCTCTAGTCTTCACTTTGGATCCATGTTCCATCATTATAATCACTGCCTTCTAACAACTCTTCACTCCCTTGCTGCTCTCTCACGCCCTTAGGTTCCTTGACAAAATCTTTTCTTTTTCATAGTGGCATGTGTTGTTATTAAACAAATAAAAAATAAAATTTAAAATATATACAAAGTGATACGAAAAGTATACTTCACGTCTAATTCAGTTCTAAAGGTGTGTCGTAACCTAATAATAAAAGTGTCATATTCTACTGCAAGAGTAGATTATTTTTTCTATATTCATCTTACAGCCAATTTTATCATTCAGAATTCACTGTGAATATTTTCTATTAACTTGTCTTTATAAAATTTATAAAATTTTATGAATGTTGACCTTGACCAAAAACATTAACCCTGATTAAATCCAACACACTTCCACCTCCATGCCTGTACCCAACTGGTGAACTCTCCCTGGAGAAAGACCACCATGCTGCTTGGTTTAACTTTAAATACATACTGGCCAAGAACAAACAGGCATTTAACAGTGCTTAAAAACCCCACACTTCCATAAGACATTTGCTTTCCTGTTCTCTAACCACTTCAGTCTCTTCTCAGACCCGATGCCTCTCCTCCCTTTTCACTCTTATCTGACAATCTTGTCTCACACTTAAAAAAAAAAAAAGGGAAAGCATCAGATTTCATCCTCTTTTACTACTAAACCTGAATATATATTCTCTGCTTTTCTCCTTTGACAATGGATGAAGTGTCTAGTCCTATTTACGGCCAGCTGGTTCTTCCATTCATTAACGGGAGCACATGCCTCTCAGCTCCCTAAGGACTACAGCCAGCAATCACCAGCTCTCTCTTCCCCACATGACCAATTTTCCCATATTCTGGAGCATTTCTCTCAGCATACAAACTCATTCCAGTGTCTCCCATCCTACCATCTACCAGGTATTTTCCTGCTTATTTATCTTGTTCTCCTTACTAGAAGGTAAGCAGGAATGTTGTTCAACACTAACCAGCACCAGGAAACATTTGAATTCATCTATACTGGATCAAATTGTGAGGCCATGCCAACCAAATGAGATTTTATTAGGTACAACCTTCTCATAGCAAAGTTAAACTTTCAATTACATAAAGTGACCTGTAGGTCATTTGATGATTTTAGGAAATAGGAAACTATCATTATACTAAAGGTGCAATCGATTTCACATAATATCACAGTGTGATGAATTTCAACATTTAATTCTATTTTTTAAGGCAATGTATAATAATCTTGGATTTTTAAAAACACAGTTTCAGAAAATGAACTCAATTATACAACCAGAAAAATAATTTGTTAGTATCTCTCCATAGTCAGCATAACAAATTTTATGCTTCTCCCTGGCGAAGCTCTGCTAATTATAGCAATATTTCTTTAAAAAGTAAATGCTTTGCATACATTCCTGCAAAATGAACAAAACTATAAAAATTTAAGCCCTGGCTGGTATAGCTCAGTGGCTGACTGTCAGCCTGAGAATCAAAGGGTTGCCTGTTCAATTCCCAGTCAGGGCCCATGCCTGGGTTGTGGGCCAGGTCCCCAGTAGGGAGTGCACGAAAGGCAACCACACATTGATGCTTCTCTCCCTCTTTTCCTCCCTTTCCCTCTCTAAAAAAATAAAAATAAAAAATAAAAATTTAAGACAGAGTTAGACTAAAATGACTTCAACAGATGTCAATATAAAATGCGAAGTCTGAAGTCAGACTGCCTGGGTTCAAATCCCTGCTCTGAGTTTCACCTATGACAAGTTTCTAAGCATGTTTTTTTCTGTCTATAAAATACAGTTACTCAATGGGTTAAGTTAGTTTATATAATTAAGGACCTTAGAGCAGTGTTCGGCACATTGTAAGCACATGCCAGCTATTGTTCTTATGAAAGACAATTAGTATTGCCAGGAGGAGAAATCCCACCTGATTAAAAGAAGTAACATTCAGTGACTGAAGTGAACTACTCATACAATATTTGAGGGTGGGACAGCCATTTTCACTATATTGCAAGCAGGAGAGACAACAAATCCATAGACAAAAAGGTGATTTTCTAAAAGCAAAAGAAAATTGAGAATGCTGTCAGGACTTACCATCCATTCTGTCTAGGGAACAGAGGTGACAGTGAACTTCGAAGAAGGGTCAGGTGTCCAGGAGACAGCAGCAACGCAGAATCCTAGCTGTGTGAAATTATCATTAGAGAAGTCATCCTTGATTCTCTTGCTCACACTGCATAACCCAAAATCCAGAATCCTACACATCCTAGGGGTTCTAGCCATAGACTTCATCCAGATGCCAACCATTTCTCACTCCCACCACCACCACCATCTTCCTCCTAGGATGGAAGCAGTTTACTTTTTATGTTTTGCAAACTATCTTTATAGAAACTCAGGTAAGGTACAGAGGAGTTAATATGATACTAGATTACATGAACCAGACAAATTGTAAACAGTATTACTATTGTATCTACTGGGGAAGTCTGCTGGATTATAAGTTCCTTGAGGGTCTAGAAGGAGAAAACTGTCTTGTTCCTTTCTATAACCAACCACCCTTTGGGCCCAAACCCATACCCTTTCCTCACCCTCATACCTAGGGCCATCCAACAAGTGCTATGGGTTCTATTCCACACTATTGGGCAAAACTTTCACTTCTCCCCAACTTTACCACCAAAAGCCTAGTCCAAGCCACCACCAATCTTTTGCCCCAACTACTGACTGCATTAGCTTCCTGTATTGGTTTCCTCAGTCTATTCTCTATACAACAGCCACAGTAATCTTTTCTTTCCTTAGTAATCTTTTAGGAACACAAATCCAATAGCAGTAGTCCTTTAATTAAAAATTCTTTAATGATCTTCCATTGCCCTTAGAACAAAATCTACAAAGCCTATGAGGCAATGGATACTCTGTCTTTTGCCTACTTCTATTTCTTTACCTTTTCTGTGAGTCCACTCTACCCACCATTACCCACCCCCCAAACACGTTCTAGCAAGACTAGACTGCATTCTGCCCTGGATGGTGTGGCTCAGTTGGTCGGGCATCCGCCTGCAAAATGAAAGTTCTCTGGTCCAATTTCGGTCAGGGCACATGCTTGGGTTGTGAGTTTGGTCCCCGGTTGGGGTGAGTATGGGAGGAAACCGATCAAAATTTTCTCTCTCACACTGATGTTTCCCTCCCTTCCCCTCTAAAATCAAAAATTAAAAAAAAAAAAAGACTAGATTGCATTAAACTTCTTGAACACACTGAGTACTTTCAGGCATCAGGCTATTTGGAAAGTTGTCCTAGCTCCTTCTCGCATTTCAGTCTCCGCTTAACTATCATTTTTTCCTAAGCCTTTCCAGACCACCCTCTCAATTCACCCTTTTCATTACAATACTGCACTATTCTGCACTTCTGTAGTCCTCTTTAGATTGTAAGCGTCGCAGGTCCTAAGTAGTGAGTGTTTGGAGCCCCGTACATGATACGTAGTCATTATTTTCAAATCATGACTTCTAAAAAATGAATAAGAAAAGTCCAAAAGGCATGCACCCGGCAAGCGTTTTAAAGGTTACTTTTAAAAAGAAAAAACTGGTCCCTTAAAGTAAACGGCCCGTCAAGATACTTTTCCTAAGTGCCCCGCAACTTCTGAGCCACCTAATCTCCCGGTCGCGCCCGCCCGGCGCTCTCCCAAGGCCGCCCCGCTTCCAGTCTTGCCCACCGGAGTGCCCGCAGGCTCGGCGCCTCTCACTCCCAGAGCTCTCTAACCTCTCCCGCAGACGCGCGTGGCAGATCTCTCTCCCGCCGCAAGCGGCTACTTACCCAGCGCCGCACCCTCTCCTTTCCACAGCTAGACGCGCCAAAATTCCAACTTGACTCCACCCTGTCTCTGACGTTTGACGCACGCCGGCTTGGAATCGCGCTGATTGGCTGCATCAGAGCTCTGGGAGGGAAAGATCTGGAGGAGGCGCAAAAAAAAAAAAAAAAAAAAAAAATCCTTGCGTAGAGCAAGCTGATTGGCTCACGTGACCAGGCGCCCTCTTTATTGAAGGCAAGGGAACTTCCGGTAGGTGAAGCCCTAGGCACCTTTAGGTAAAATAAAGTGTTCTGGTGCCCTCCAGCGCCGCGAAACTGAAGTATTATTAATACGTGGTATTTTTACAGGAGATCAAAACTCAATTCCTGACACTCTCCGGGACTATCATCCATTCCTGAGCCTCAGGTATGAAAGGTGTTGGATAAGGACGTAATCCATATTCTAGGAATTTAGTGTCTGATTTGGTAGATGTGATATATTCGTAGTTTACAGAAGATGACTGCTAAAGAACACCAGTCTTGCTGGAGTGGAGGCAAAAAAGGAGACAAGCGAGAAACATTAAAATAAGTAGGTAAAATGTGTGGACTATGATGAACTCTGGGTCAGGAACCTTCTTCCATAAGGAATAAAAAGACCATCTTTGAGCAGCTGGGGGAGGAAGGTAAATTGTGTAGAGAAAAAGTGTGGCTACGAGCTTAGACTCTGGAGTTAAGAATATTGGCTTTGCTGCAAGGTTTTTAACTGATACATACTAACGGCAACTTTGGGTAAATTCTTAAGTGCCTTAACTTATCTGCAAAATGGATAGTAATAGTTATTTCATAGGGCAGTGTGAGAGTTGAAAAAACCTTGAAAACACAGACTGTGCCCAGCACATGTAAACATTACATGTGTATTAACTTATATTCTTACTACTTTACAAGGCGTTGCTTAGGGATATAAGCTAACAAAGAGGTCCTCAGGAACTGAATGTACCCCAAATTGGAGGCAGAGCAGCACATTGGAAAATTGTGATAGTCCCAGAATGTGAGTTGAAGGGAAGGGACAAACAGGAAACATGAAGGAAAACCTGTCTGCTTTGGTAACTGACCAAAGGAAAGTTACCTTTGGCAGGAAAAGGAGAGGAGAGGGGCCATACTGGCAATACTTGGGAGAAACTGGCAGAATTATAGAAATGGGCTAGAAATCTAAAGGAGGAGCTTGTTCTGGACAGGAGAAGCAATGATGAGTTCAGGCTGAGGGGATGCTGTGGAGATTTGGCAGGTACCTTTAGATTTGTGTTTGTAGCCAGGGGTTCATATCAGGGCTTCAAGTGTAGGGCTTGGGATGTAGTTTAGTCAATACAGTTGAGTTCTCTAAAGTAGAGACTGTAGAAGCAAAATATCTGAGTATGTTTACCTGGTTAATGCACCAGAGTCTTAAATCAGTTCTTCCATCTTAGGCCCAGCAGGAGGCAATGCCACTCAAAATCAGAACAGACCTTCTATTGAGAGAAATGGCCAGTTTCCATGGTCCCACCCTACCCCACACCTCCCTGTATAAATCCCTTTATATCTGTCTTCACATCTTCCAAGCTGCACAGTACAGAACTCTAGAATTTCATCCCAAATTGAACTTGTCCAATAAACTGGACAAAGACCCCGTACTGAGAAAAATGTTATCCTTGTTCAGAGGCAACCATCTACTTAGAGAGGAATAGCCCAGCTAAGAAAGAGGAAAGCCCAAGCTACTGATCTTCATAACAGAATATTTTCTTTGCTGCCTAAATAAATGTCTATTGCTTTTCAACCAATCTACAGGGTACTATAAACAACAGACTATGTTCCTCCATCTACTTACCTCAACTGATGTTTTCCAAAGGTAAGTCAATAAAAAATTCTAGCACTGGTGGTTTCAACTAACTCATTAAAATGTTCACATTTCTTCTTGGTTATGCTGGGTTAGTAACAATAAATATTTTATATACTTACTCATGATTATGGCTCCATATATTTAAAGGACAAAATTGCTACATAAAGCTCTTAGCTCATTGAGAGTTCCTGAATCAGTATATTTGTATTATACTTCACCTCTTCGCAATTAGTTAGCTAGAAAAAAATAATTACCAATGACCAAATTTTCATAGTAAGAGTACAGAATGTTATTCCAATAATTATTTAAATGACACTCTATGTAAGTCAAAGGATGGCAAAGAAGATTATTATTTCCACTTTTTATTTGCCATTCATAGCAAAGCATTTTGGGTAACTTTTGCTGTTCTAAAATATTTGAATATTGGTTCATATACTTGATTTCTGGTGATGGCATAATGAACTTGATATTCCATTTTAAAATATATTTTACTGATTATGCTATTAGTTCCCAATTTTTCCCCTTTGCCCCTCTCCACTCAGTACCCCACATTCCTTCCAGCAGTCCCCCCTTAGATCATGTCCATAGGTCACTGGCTACTCCATTTCCTATACCATTTTTTAAAATATATTTAATTGATTATGCTATTATAGTTGTCCCATTTCTCCCCTTCACTTCCCTCCACCCTGCACACCTTCTCCCACCCACATTCCGCCACTTTAGTTCATGCCATGTGTCATAAGTTCTTTAGCTTCTATATTTCCCATACCCCTGTCTATTCTTGCCCTCCGCTATTTTCTACCTACCATCTATGCTACTTATTCTCTGTACCTTTTCCCCCTCTCTCCTTCTCCCACTCCCCTGTTGCTAACCCTCCATGTGATCTCCGTTTCTATGCTTCTGTTCCTGTTCTAGTTGTTTGCTTAGTTTGTTTTTGCTTTAGGTGTGGTTGTTAATGATTGTGAGTTTGCTGTCATTTTATTATACATGGTTTTTTTTTTTAATCTTCTTTTCTTAGATAAGTCCCTTTAACATTTCATAAAATAAGGGCTTGGTGATGATGAATTCCTTTAACCCGACCTTATCTGAGAAGCACTTTATCTGCCCTTCTATTCTAAATGAAAGCTTTGCTGGATAGAGCAATCTTGGATGTAGATCCTTGCCTTTCATGACTTGGAATACTTCTTGCTAGCCCCTTCTTGCCTGCAGGGTCTCTTTTGAGAAATCAGCTGACAGTCTGATGGGAACTCCTTTGTAGGTTACTGTCTCCTTATCTCTTGCTGCTTCTAGGATTCTCTCCTTCATTTTTACCTTGGCTAATGTAATCATTATGTGCCTTGGTGTGTTTCTCCTTGGGTCCAACTTCCTTGGGACTCTTTGAGCTTCCTGAACTTCCTGGAAGTCTATTTCCTTTGCCAGATTGGGGAAGTTCTCCTTTATTATTTGTTCAAATAACTTTTCTACTTGTTGCTCTTCCTCTTCTGGTACCCCTATAATTTGGATGTTGGGACATTTAAAATTGTCCTGGAGGTTCCTAAGCCTCTCCTCATTTTTTTTGAATTCTTATTTCTTTATTCTTTTCTGGTTGAATATTTATTTCTTCCTTCTGGTCCACTCTATTGTTTTGAGTCCCAGTTTCCTTCCCATCACTCTTGGTTCCCTGTGTGTTTTCTTCCTTTCATTTAGCTTAGCCTTCATTTTTTCATCTAATTTGCGACCAAATTCAACCAATTCTGTGAGCATCCTGATCACCAGTGCTTTGAACTATGCATCTGATAGGTTGGCTATGTCTTGGTCGCTTAGTTGTATTTGCTCTGGAGCTTTGATCTGTTCTTCTGTTTGAGTCATTTTTTTCTTTTTTGGTCTTGTCGCATCTGTTAGGTAGTGAGGGGAGGAGCCTTAGGTAGTCACCAGGGCGGGGCAACCCAGGTTGCTGGGTAGTGATGCTGTTTGTGATAGAGGGGTCCAAGAGGCAACAATGGCGCTTGCTCCACTCTGCTGGGTTTCAGTCCCTTCTGCTGCTTCCCCCAAGCAAACTGGGCCTTTCTGGTACTAATTCCCATGTGGATGGGTTTGTGCACATTCTAGGACCCCATGGGTCTCTCCAACGCACTCTCCTGTAAAGCTGGGAGTCTTTCCCGACACCTCAACTCCCACAGGTGTTTTCAATCGGTGTTTTGAGGCTTTATTTCCCAGCGCTGGGACCCTGGGTTGCATAGTCTTTCTCACTCCCTAGCTTCACCTGGTTTATCTGCATGCAAATGTAGGACCGCCTGGTCCACCAGCTGCCTTGTGTGCCTCGCCTGTCCACAATCTGCCACCTGGCTGGGTCCGCCCACTGCCATCCTGCACCTGGGGTCTGCCGCCACTGCTTTTTTGCCTCGACTCCTCTCCACCCGCCCAACTCTGCCCCTCCTACTGGTCTAGATGAATGTATCTATTTTAACTCCTTGGTTGTCATGCTCCCATACAGTTCAATTTTCTGTCAGTACTGGTTGTTTTTTTGTTTCTAAATTTTTGTTGTCCTTAATTTGGTTGTGTGAGGAGGTACACTGTGTCTACCTACGCCTCCATCTTGGCTGGAAGTCCTACTATACCATTCTTAACATCCCCCTGAGTATTTTGTACCTACCTATTTGTAGTTCTTAACCCCTGCACCTTTCCCATCATTCTTCTCCTTTACCTCCCAACTGATAACCCTGCAAATGATCTCCATATCTATGATTCTGGTTCTGTTCTGCTTGTTTGCTTAGTTTGTTTCTTAGATTCAATTGTTGATAGTTGTGAATTTATTGCCATTTTAATGTTCATAGTTTTGATATTCTTTTCTTAAATAAGTCCCTTTAACATTTCATATAATAATGGCTTGGTGATGATGAACTCCTTTAGCTTTATCTTGTGTGGGAAGCAATTAATGTGCCCTTCGATTCTAAACAATAGCTTTGCTAGATAAGCTAGGTTGTAGGCCCTTACTTTCCCTCACTTTGAATATTTCTTGCCAGTCCCTTCTATAGGAGACCGTTATGTGTGGCATGGGCCCAGACAGGACCCACACCCATGGATAGGTTCTCCCGTGGGGAATCAGGCCTGCATTGTACCTAGACTGCCATGAGACTTGCTTTTGCTAAAACTCCCTCACCCTGAATTGAGGTGGCAAACATTTACTGCATATCTTTAAATTCACTTCCTAAAATCTGTGCTAAACCTTCCAAGGATGAGTGTAACCAGTTCAACTAGTTTTCCCTTTGCATTTGCAAATACCCTTCTTCTGTGATGTGATTAGCAGCATCCTCTCCTTTGTTTTCTGTAAACGGTAACCAACTAAAGTGAACCTGTGCATAGTAAATGAGGGCCATCATGAAATGTGCCCAGAAAAGCAATAAAAGCTTGTCAAGGTGAGGGTTGAGGTGCTCTCCCCTTGAGAGAGTGGCCGTGCCATCCCTTTTTCTCCACAGGACTCAGTAGTCTGTGTGAATTTGTCGTGTCCCATCCACAATGTGGCAGATACTGTTTGCTAGTGCTGGCATCAATCTTTAACCTTTGGCGTTTGAATTAAGATGTGTTTGGTGTGGTTCTATGTGGCTCCATCTTGTTTGGGACTCTCTCTGCTTCTGGGACTTGTATGTCTATTTCCTGCATCAAATTAGGGAAACTTTCTTTCATTGTTTTTTCCAAAGAGGTTTCCGATTTCTTGCTCTTTCTCTCCTCTTTCTGGCATACCTATGATTCAAATGTTGGTATGTTTGAAGATGTCCCAGAGGCTCCTTAGCCTATCCTTGTTTTTCTTTCTTTTTTTATTCTTAGTTTTCTTATTGAATGTTTTTCCTTCCTTATATTCCACATCATTGATTTAATTCTCAGCTTCATCCACTACACTGTTGGTTGCCTGTGAACTTTTATTTCACGTAGTGCAACCTTCATTTCTGTCTGAGTCTTCTTTATGCTATGAATTACCCAGTGAGTTCCTTGAGTGTCCTAATAACCAGTGTTTTGAACTTTGCATCTGTTAGATTGCTTACCTCCATTTTGTTTAGTTCTTTTTCTGGAATTTGTTCTGTTGTTTTATTTGGGCCATATTTCTTTGTCTCCTCAATTTGGCAGCCTCCTTGTGTTTGTTTCTATGCACTAGGTAACGCCACATAGGCTCTCTTAGTAGCATGGCCTATTGTAGAAAAGTGAATCTGTAAGTTGGAGGGGACAGAGCCTTAGGTAATTGTCTGGATGGGGCAACCCATGTGAATCAATCTCCGATATGGTGTTGCTGCTCTGTGTAGGGGTGGCTCAGGAAGGGGACAGTACCACTGTCTTGCCTCTGGAGTTTTGTCCAAGAGGAAGCTGTCCCCCAACACTTGCCCTGATGCCAGACACTTCAATTCCATCCCATATGTCACTGGCACCCTTCCAGCTGCTATCCCAGTGCTGGAGCCCAGAGGGAGTGAGTCTGTGTAAGTCCTGGTCCATTACATGCCCTTTAAGAGGAGACTTCTGAGAATCCTGCAGTTTCTTCTGCCACCTGAATCCCACGGGTTTTTACAGCCAGAAGGTATAGGGACTTATCTTCCCGGCACTAGAACCCTGGGCTAGGTGGTCTGGTGTTGGGCTGGGATCCCTCACGCCTGAGGTATCCTCCCAATTTTTATTTACCACTCATGGGTGAGGGACTTCCCATTCCATATCTCTGTGCATCTCAGCATCTCCACCCCTCCTACCTGTCAGGATGAACATGACTTCTTTAATGCCTTGGTTGTTGAACTTTCATACAGCTAAATTTTTTTATAATTCTGGGTGACAGTTTCATAGTCTAGTTGTAATTTTTGCTGTGGTTGCGCAAGTAGGTTGTGCTGTGTTTACTGAAGTCTCCATCTTGACCAGAAGCCTAAATTTAACATTTCATTATAAAGGCAATTCCAAATTAGCCTTTTTATTATGGGTCAAATGGAAGTGTTAGCCAATCTTCAGAAGAATCTTGATTTGATGAGGCACACAATGCATTTTATGTGTTCATATTA